ACTTTGTCAAGATTGGATGGGTCTGGACGACTTTTGCATTCCTGTCAATACTATCGACTCAGCCCGGATTCGTTACTAGGCGAATCGACCTAAATGAGCGCCTCAGGAAAGTGTGGCAAGCCATATTTCGATATGCGTTGGTTACACTTGCTTGGATTCTCACCACCCAATGGTGTTTTGGCCCCGCTATCATAGACCGCAGCTTTACTGCCACGGGAGGGAGATGTGAAAGGGTACTCGCCAACGGGATGAGGGAGCCTATATCAGCTTCGATTATGACTTCTGTGGCGTGTAAAATGGTGGAAGGCACTTGGCAAGGAGGTCACGACGTTAGTGGACATGCATTCATGCTTGTTCTTGCAAGCGCCTTTCTGGTGTTTGAATTACTTGGTTCCGGACTTTCGGTGAATGAAAGGCCGGATATCAAAGCCAAAGACAGAGATGGGCAGGCATCGGAAATTGCTCTGGATGAGGATGCTCCGGACCCTGCAGCAAGAATGTCACGACAGTTTGTTTGGGCGGTTGCGGGTCTATGTTGGTGGATGTTACTCATGACAGGGATCTGGTTCCATACGTTTTTCGAAAAGGTAAGCCGTGTTAACCGCATCCGTCGACTCAACGACTTCATCTGTATCACTGCTGACTGTGACGGCTTTGCCCCAGGCCTCTGGGCTACTTATTGCATTGGCTACCGTGTACGCGATATACATCCTCCCGAGAACTGCTCCCTCGTGGAGATGCATAATAGGGATACCTGGACAATGAGAGATACAAAGAATAATTGTATAATACTTTTAATTAGATCACAGTTGATTATATCTTGGAGTCAGAAATCGTTGGGAGTTACACCACAGTGGAATGCCGCTTAACTTCGCCAACTAACCCTTTGCAACATTTTCACTCCTTTTCATCGACAACTCCATTTTCCGCTACCGACCTTCCTCCAGGTCTCTGATCGGCTCACGGCCAAAAAACCCGGCTTTGAATGCTATAAAGATGTGAGTGATCTTCTACTAGGGAGCGTCGAGTTTACAAAACCTAAAGTCGGATAATACAGCTTACCTCCAGGGATCAATGCCGTGGAATTCATTACCCTTGTGATAGGCTTTAGATCTTCTGGCGTCAAAGCTGAAGAGGTATATTTTTCCCATTGGGAAAGGATCTCTTCGGAACGAGATTTCAAATCAAGCGCAACTTCGCTTTTACTTCCTGGGTCGAACATGCAGCCTATTCCAAGACAGGTCCCGAATTCCCTGAAAGCAAGACGGAAGCGCACCGGGGTGTCGAGGTATCCCTCGCGGTCAAATAGGTCACCTGATGCAGATGGTTCAATTGAAGAAAGCGGTTAGTGAATACTGCCCAGTCCTTCTGGGGATATACACTTGCAGGCCACTTGAAGCAGGGTGCTTATGGTGAGGATTACGGATTTGAAGGATGCATCTGTTGCCCAAATCGGTCGCCCAATCCTCCCTTCCAGAGAGCCAATGGGCGGTCCAGAGGGTCATTCCCAGATCCAGTGTGTCGCTTGAAACGTAATGTTTCCCTTTTCGAGCCATAACTCTCTTATAATCATCAATCTCTTCCTCCAAGACCGGGCCGCCACCATAGTTCAACGCTGACGATTGTAAGAGCCGGAACACTACATATCCGTCGATCGGATCCAAGTTTCCCTCGCTGGCCACTAAGGGTCTCGAGAGGTCCATTGCAACCTTCCACACCATTCTCGGATGGCTGGATGTTCTGTTGAGAAAGAAGTGCGGGTGGATGGCTTTTGCCAAAGACACCGCTTGACGATTGAATGCAGGTTCGCCGGCGGCCATTGCTAGTCGATTCAGGGCGAACATCCACACGGTAAGGTAATGGTGATATTGTCCGTCACCATCGGATCCAGTTTCCGACTCTTTTCCAATCCGCAAGCCACCCCCGAGTGGCTCCTCGTCCGTAGCACCGGGCAGCCGAGACTGTCCATCACGGGTTCGACCCAAGACGTCGTGGACAGTGAGAACAAGACGTTTGGCGAACATGAGATACTTTCCATCACTGGATTGATTCTCTTTGTGTAATGTCAGGAAATTCAATACCCCGAACGCGTCAGTCCATAGATAACGCCCTCTATGGCCGCCAGACTTGGGCGGAGGTACCCAGGTTGAGGGATCAGCTATGTTAGAGAAATTCCCATACACACTTTCCATCGAACTCTCGAAGCGATGAATGCGAGACATCATAGATGACATAGAAGCAAAGCTCCTAATTAAAGAGATACCGGGCTTTCGAGCCATAAGGGTCGGCGCTGGTGCTACCGGTGTTACGGTGTATGTATATAGTGGACGCTGGGATGTTGGAGACGTCATAAGAGGGATCTCACTGGTTGATATGATTGGTTGACGCTCAGACGTTTGCACCGTTTGGCTGACACCGACCAACAGTCGAAGCGTGGCATCTGATTGGGCGAGAACTGGTTAACTAGTTAATGAAGTAATATTGCTTACCAAAGCAACGATGCAGTACATGTCGATGTTGCAAAGACATCGCAAAAGACGACCGATCTTGGTAGTTAGCCGAGCTACGAATGCGCAAGAACGTCCTTGCTAATTCCCGGATGGCGACGATCAATAAGTTCCAAAGAGGGGGATACCACGGCCAAAAGAACGAGCAATAAGCTGTCAACTCTTAAGTGTGTACGTATGTATGTACGTACTTGTACTCCGTGGAGTACATGCTTGTATACAGATGTGAAGTCATAGGATCCAATCTGGAGGACCTTCGAGTGGCGGGTTGAATCGCCTGGGATCCTGTTTTACTCGTATCAGGTTTCGCTAGGCAGATGTAAATAGATATAGATTGCTAGCCGAGCTCTGATTTCTGAGTGCTTCTCAGGGCGTTGATTGTGAATGATGAGAGATAACAATAGCTTGCTGTAAACGTGCAACTATGAGCTCGAGACTCGTCGATATCATCAAGTCAGCGGCAAAGCCTCTCCCTCCTCTTACCGACGAATCGTTTGGGTCGTATTTTGACCATCTCAAAAATTACAAGGTCGTTTTATTGGGCGATGGAAGCCATGGCACGTCAGAGTTCTATCACGCGAGGGCCGAAATTACGAAGCGCCTGATTGAGCATCACGGCTTCGACACCGTGGCGTTGGAAGCAGACTGGCCCGATGCCGAAGAACTTGATAGATACGTGCGACAGCGACCGGGGCTCAAGGGTAAATTGGAGCAAGGAAAAGATGAGCCATTTCAGAGATTCCCGACATGGATGTGGCGGAATAAGGAAATGCAAGACGTTGTCCACTGGATGAGAGACCATAATGCGAAACTTCCTCCCCAGAAAAGAGCCGGGATTTATGGGCTGGACCTTTACAGCATGGGAAGGTCTATTGAGGGCATCATCAAATACCTTGACGGGGTCGATCCGAAAATGGCAAAATTGGCACGCCAGCGGTACGGCTGTCTGCAACCGTGGGTAGAAGATCCGACATCGTACGGATTCGCGAATTTCACCACTACCGGAATGAAAACTTGCGAGGACAAGGTCATTGGAATGTTACGAGATCTGCTGCAGAAGAGGTTGGAATACTCTGCTCATAGGCACGATGGGGAAGAGTTCCATAGCATGGAGCAAAATGCTTATCTTGTGGCCGATGCAGAGTCGTATTATCGAGCGATGTATTCTAGCCGGGCAGACTCATGGTCTCTTCGAGACACGCACATGTTTGAAACGCTTAATCGGTTGCTGAAGTATAAGCCTTCTTCCAAGGCTATAGTATGGGCACACAACAGCCATATTGGAGACGCAAGATATACCAGTATGGGCAGGCATCGTGATGAGCTCAACATCGGTCAGCTATGCCGTGAGAACCTTGGGCGTGAGAATGTGGCCTTGATTGGATGTGGGACACATACGGGCACTGTGACCGCTGCACACGAATGGGATGATGATGCAGAGATCATGAAAGTACGGCCGTCCCGATCTGATAGCTGGGAATACTTAGCTCATCAAACTGGCATCCCGTCATTCTACCTCGAGCTCCGGCAGGGTCTGTCCGATCCGGAAACCCGCCAGGAAATCCTGAAGGCATCACCCCGATTAGAGCGGTTTATTGGCGTGATATATCGTCCAGCAACTGAACGAATGTCCCACTATTCCGCAGCTGATCTCGCAGATCAACTCGACGGGTATATTTGGTTCGATGAATCCCAAGGGGTAAGGCCTCTGGAGATGACGCAACCCCGCACGCCGCTCGGAGTGGACGAAACTTATCCCTTCGGGCTGTGAGTCCTCCGCGAGCGGGACGGTTGAAGTGGACCGCTGATGTTTTGAAGGAGTGTCGTTGATGTCAAGATGAAATTGATATTCCCGACGTCATTTGTAACGAAATCTGATTATCTAATCAGTGAGCAACGTGATTACATAATGTTTGTTTACTTTTGCTTGTTTTCGGACTAGTTACTGGGAGCTTCACGACTCTCCGTCCTTTGCTTCTCAGTGTCCAACGTGTAGCTCTCCATCTGTCTATATTCTTAACAGTCGTTGAAAACTATATCCTCAACAATAGAAGCTGCAGTTGATACAGACCACCGTTGACCCCTGCCAGCCTGTACCGTTGCTGCATCAACATGCCAGTCACTCGTCGGTCCGCCCGATTGAGGGGGCAGACACCGACCCTTGAGGTATGTTGGATTCTTTTTGGCTGGTCTTTTTTGGCTACGAGAAGCAGTGCAAGTACTTACTTCTATAGCCATCTCAAGTTGACAAAAGCCATTCGCGACCCGCTGCCAAGCTGCCATCCCTTGTCGAACATGACGATGAACCAACGGCACCTAGCGTGAAGTCGGGCAATAATACACGGCCGACGACTCCTATACAAAAACCACTCTCTACGCCTTCAAAGGCTAAATCTAGCTCGAGGGCATCTGTTAAAACACCGTGCACAAATGGACCCGTGAAACCGAGTCATGGAGAAATGCATCCTAGCAAGGTTCATCAGAGTACCTCAAAACAGCTTGACAGTGGCCTTATACTTGGATTTCAGCCAATTCAAAAGGACCCAAATGCTCCAAGCAATCCTCTTCTGACCCTATCCAATACACCTTCAAAAGGCCGACTCTCGCACCCTGACCAGCTAGAAGCATTGAGCTACGACTTCAAGTTCTCCTGCGAGGACTCTGGGCTTAGCGTCGAGGCAAGAGACATTATGAAGAGCATCCGAGAAGATGCCGCGAAAATTAAAGCTGAAATGAAAATTAAAGGGCCTGAATCAAAGGATAAAGAGGAGAAGCCGAAACAGATGGGCGAGAGGAAAATCGCCAAGGTAAAGAGCAAGATCGGACGTTTCAGTGAAATCCATATGAATCAATTCAGGAAGATGGACTCTATAGCCAATCATCCTTCTGCCTTCAGAGCTCGTCCAGATCGTGTCCAGCCTCCCGTTTCGAAAGGTCTCAAACGCACCATTTCGAAGGCTCGTCTTGATGAGCCGGAGCGACCTTCCCCAGCTAAAACTAATGTCCGTGTACCCGCGACTACGTCTACCAACTTGCCCGCAAAACGCCAAAAGAATAACGGGAATGAAGATATTTCTACTCGTCGACCACTGTTCAAAAATGACCAAGCTACGAATAGACCCGGCACAAGCACCAATTCTTCCCTCCCTGAGAACATTGGAACGCCGTATAAACCAAAGATTACACACTCTACAAGTGTGCAGCACTCTAAAACCACCAATATTCCTTCATTACTACCACGCTCGCCTTCAAAATCTAACCTCGCGCCTCGAACTCCACAGACGGACCTCAAAACAAAAACCAACAACACAACTCCCGGTCTTGGGACTCTGAAATCAATTCTACGCCGACGTCAACCACTGTTTTCTAATGACCCGCTAAAGGTTGCTGCTGGGACCCATCAGGCATTTCCGGATGGTGACCTGAGCACCAAACTCCTATTCGCGACGGATCCTACCAATCCAAGTCCAACGATTCCTTCCGCTAAAAAGCGCGTTGATTTCTCTGATAGCACCAATACTCGTGATGCAAATGAACCATTGGACGGCCCTCGAACGCCTGATTTGGGCCCCTTGGAAGACGCCGAGAGTGGTGATATCGTTTATCCAACGCTGCCGCCTCTGAGCACGCCCAGAAATGCCGAACAACTTGCTTTCTTTTACGAGCCTTCTCCAGTTAGTACACGCAAATCTTCGGTAACGACCAATACGCGTCGACAGCTTGCCTTTTCAACTCCTGGGGCGATCCCGCACGGCATAACTAACAAGAAACGCCAACGGGAGGAACATGGGGCTGAGGAGCCAGATCATGCTGCTAAATTTACGACTGATCAGCGAAGTGCTAAAAGGGTCAAGGTCCTCCCGATGCCTGGATCGAAGACTCAGACTCCCAGCCCAGTGAAGCAACGTCCGATCCAGACAGCAACTCCACGAAGTGCCATTCGCGCTACAGCCGGCTCGGCACGTAAGTCTGGCCTTAGTTTTAGTCGATTAAGCTTTCTTGCGAGACCCAAACAGCGACGTTAAATCTCCGATTGCGTTTACTCGCCGCTTCTCCGCTATGAATTGATGAAATTCTGCTCCTTTCAAATTCAAATTTGTCCAACAAAAGTTGATATTTTGCCGAATGCTTGTTTTGCTGGTTGTTGATTTCTAAAATGGCCGTGATATTTTCTTTCTCCTAGTATGGTATCTTCGTTCTTGTTCACTTTTAGTCTTTTATTCTCCAACAGTTAGCCGGTGTTATCTGGAGTTCTAAACCTTCGTTCGATTTTCAACACAGGGTATGATCGGGGGAAATCCTTTGGATGCTGGGAGGCAGTTTGTTTTCTGTTTGGGAGTCTTCTCGTGGCGCCTATGGGCTGATTATCATTTGCGAAGCTACTTCTGGGCCATTTTTGCTCCCACTTCAATGGCTGTGTGTACGATATGTAAGAATACTCGCAACTGCGTGTTTTGTCTTCGGCTTTATGCCAGTTCATGCTGTTATTTCCCTCTCCATTGCTTTTCTAGCTCTTTGCTTTGGCCCTCTTTAAATCTAGATTATAAGGAAACCCAATGGCAGCATATGGTTCTGAGTTTAAATCGTCTTTGATGCGATGAGTAAAAGAGACTATCTTCTTCTTCTTCTTCTTCTTCTATTATAAGTATAATACTTGTACAGACGACATTCCAAGGCCAATATTACATCACTTTCAAAACACCAAGAGTTAAAAGGTTCAACAAAAGTAAAGAGAAAAATTGTTTAATACTTATACATATTGAGAAAGCCAAGTTGAAAAGAAGACCGTAGAAGTAATAGAGACGTAAAGAGGAAAGAGAAATAAGTTGCGGACCATTTGCTCTTCTTTTTCTGAGCCCAAAAAGGAGGACCAAACAGGATCAAGGATAATAAAAAAAAGGCAACAAGAACTCCTGTGATGCGTGTAAGATACGCCGCTGCCATGAAATTCAAAACGACTTTTTTTCTTTCATGATCGCGTAACACCCACCAAGACCGCGCTCTCGAAGAGTCGAGCAAGCCCAAAGAGAATATGAACAGGATATAAAAGGAAATAAACGGGATATTCAGAATCGTCTCAACCAAAGCGAGAAAGAAGCGTGGTACCGTTCCCTATTGCATCCCAACTCCAAGTGACTTGATTAGAGATCACACTGCCTTCAAAAATCCCAAGGCAGAATCGCAGGAATAACTTGTCTCTCTAAATTCACCCTTTCATGGACGCCAAAAACGAATCAAGATTGTATTCCTCTTCATATTGCCGGTCATCCCATAATTCTCCCAGGTCGTCTAGCCAGCCCCTTTTGCCCTTTTCTTTAACCTCACCGTCGATATCTACCATATCGACTTCATTACCGGTAAGACCGGAGTCTTGCCCTGGTTTTTCTGCAGTATCGGCTGTCTCACCGAGATTGAAGAGGTCAAGGAGCTGATCAGTATCCATGGTGCTGAGACCGGCGTTTTGTTGGTTGACGACGGTGGAAGCGACATCGATCTTGAAACGTTGGAGACTATGAAATGGTTAGTAAAATAGTTACCCAAGCTAGGAAGACGAAGATGTGTGCGAATAGAAACGTACTTTAAGATCTTTTCTTCCAGTGTGCCTCGTGTGATCAGACGATAGACATTAACCACCTTCTTTTGTCCGATACGATGAGCGCGATCCATGGCTTGAATATCCTTTTGCGGATTCCAATCATGTTCGACAAAAATAACCGTATCTGCACCAGTAAGATTGAGACCAAGTCCACCAACGCTTGTTGTGAGGAGGAGAACATCATAGCTAGGATCCGTATTGAATTGATTGACGATATTCTGACGTTTCGTCGCTTCCACACTTCCATCGAGACGCAGGTATTGGACAGACGGAAGTAACTTTTTGAGAACATCGTTTTGCACAATGTCTAACATCTCCTTCATCTGACAGAATATCAAGGCACGGTGTGGACTGACATAGCTTGCAGCAGTAGTCAGTTCACCTTCAGTAGATGGGTCCACGCCAATACCACAATCTATAAGCAAATCGCGAAGTGCCGTAAGCTTGGGAGCATGACTGATATCGCGAATATTCGAGCGTTTATCCGAGAGGTATTTCTGCACTTCTGGATATTGTCTATGCCCTTCTTTCACAACCAGGGCAGGGGAGTTGCAAAGTCGACGCATGTATTGTAAGGCTTGGAAAATATGTTCCTTTGCCTCTTTTTCGGTACTTCCAATCTTCTTCGCCAACTCTTTCTGTTCCTTTTTGGTGAAATCTTCGAAGAGTTTTCGCTGAAGTTCACTCGGGTCGCAATAATAATTTTGCAATATCTTTGGCGGCAGGTCGTTCAGAACCTCCTCCTTCAGCCGTCGCAGCAAGAACGGAAGGACTTGTTTGTGCAAAGCTTCGATAGCTAAAGCCCCCGCTTCTTGCTCTTTTGAAGAAGACTTGCTGAACCGACTCGCAGCGATTGGTTTGGCGAAGCGGTCTAGAAACACCTTTTCGGTTCCCAAGAATCCAGGCATGAGGAAGTCGAACAACGACCACAGTTCCAAAACGTTATTTTGAATCGGGGTGCCAGAGAGAATAAGTCGGTGGTTGCTTTGGATGCGTTTCACTGCCTGAGTAATTTTTGCCCTTGGATTCTTAATCAAGTGGCCTTCGTCCAAAACGCAATAGTTCCAAGACATCGGTAACAGGATATCGTTATCGTTCCTGCAGATATCGTATGAAGTAATTACAATATCCACCTCGCTGAGTCGTGATCGGTGTTTTGATCGTTCCGCTGGCGGACCCATGTATGAGACGCAACTAAGGAAAGGTGCGTATTGCTGAATCTCTTGTTGCCAGTGGCCAGAAACACTAGGGGGGCAGATAATCAAAGACGGTAGTCGTCTTACCTCGGGAGCCTGCGTTCGGGCGAACTCTTCTGCTCGTAAATGATGGTCACTAGCCACGATACACAACGTTTGTAAAGTCTTTCCAAGGCCCATGTCGTCACAAAGAATGCCATGCAGATTGTATCGATTTAGAAACGCTAGCCAGTTGACGCCTTCTTGTTGATAAGATCGCAGTTCGGCCTTGATTCCAACTGGTATCTCGAAAGGCTCCACTTTGCGCACGTCAAGCATTTGTGCCATAAACTTTCTCTCCCGGTCTCGACCTTTGAGCAATTCGTCCGACAAACCGGGAGGATCAGGAATGCCAGCCTCCAACGGGACGAGCTTCACAAGTGTCGCAAATGCAGTGGTTGCCAAAAGCCTCACGTCATTATCTGAATCACTCATTCGCCCAAGCACCGGAACGATAAGAAAGACGACGTACGGAAGAATTTTCTCTTCCATTACGTGGATTAAATGATATATGCATTCAATGGCGCCCTGTCGACAGTTGACGTCCAACGCATTGTTGATCGAGGGTAGGACCTTTTCCACAAGCATTGTCATGCCTTCGACAGACATAACGCTACACAAGGTGGCGAAGCATTTAGCAGCAGCGTACCGAATGACGGAAAGTTCGCATTGCAACGCTTTTACAACAAGAGGCATAAGTTCAATAACCCAGGGGTAGATGCCAGGGTGAAACTTGGGGGCTAGCGCACGTAATGTCGACAGCCCGTCCACCGTCTCTTGTCCTAACTCATTCGTCGGATCCTTGATGTCGTTTGGAAGCTCTCCCATCAAAGCTTGCTTCAGGGCATTTCGAATGAGGAAAGCAAGGTTTGGAACCTTTTCTAATAACTGAGCTCCAAATTTTGTCGCCAATTGCTCTAGAGCCTCTTTCGCTCCGCGGCGCATAATCCTAGCTTCTCGTGATTCTTTCTCAAACTTGGCCGCATCAATTGGATCTTTCCTATCTTCTTCTTTGCGAAGTGATAGAATAGCTTTCTCCAGGTGGGCATTGTGATGGAATTCTGGCGTTTCTGATGTGTCAACACAGCAGAATTTAACAAGATTACCAATGACTTTATCAACAGGTCCGCGTTTGGTAGCTGTAGTATAATACTCCACCAAGGATGCGATGGCGGATGCTGACCGTTGCTGGAGCTCAACATTTTCCTCCTTTTTCACACTGTCCATCATGGCTTTAATAATATGGCTGGGCTTTTTGGGTATATCCTGCAGGGCAACCAAAGAGCCGGCAATGGCAGCCCGAACCCGCATATCACGTTGCTCTTTTACTTCCTTGGCTTCATCGACAGCAACTTGGGCGCTTGCGCGAGAGTCGTTCAACACTTGAAGTGCAGTGACGCGTTGGGTTGGCGATAGGTCTTTCTTAAGCCTGTCGAAATCCGGGCCCACAACCTTCTCAGCATCATGAATTGAGAAGGCGTTCGGTCCAGCTTCTGGATCTCCTTGAACTACCACAGCTAAAGTTGGGAGTCTAGATTGTGAAACATGCGCGTGTTCTCGGAAAGTGTTAAGAAGTGAATGGCATTGCGCTCTTGCGATATGCAGGTAGCATGCAATGTCACTATACCACGATGGCCGCTCAGTCTCTATCGAAGGATTGAGCCATTGGGACAGGAGAGAGGCATAGCGAGAAGAAGGACCTTGCCGTTTCGTATACTCCTCGATCACCATAGCTGCCACTAGCTGGGAAGTGGAGCCAGGGCAATTCAACGCAGGTAAAACTCGATCCCATATGCTAGGCCCATTGGCGGAATCCCACGTCGACAAAAATTCGCCAAGCGCGATAGCAGCATAGATTTTCGACCTTATCATCGTATCCATACCAACCAAGTCAATATCGCCCTGTAACATATGGCCATCCACATTATGTGTCATCACCACATGCGATTCCTTCTTTTCGGTTTTTCTCCTTCTACCTCGTGGCGCAGGTTCCGCGGGAACTGACTGTTTTCGTAGGACAGTTGGTGCGAAGGTAAAAGGCGATCCGGAGGGTCGAATGAAAAGACACAAATCCATAGGTATAGGGTAACGGGGAACTCCAAACGGATTCATGGTCGCCGTGATAAGTGGCTGGATCGGGGCGACAAGCTGGTCTGTGCCGAACGCTTGTCGAGCGTTAAGAACTCTAAGCAATTGTGTCCAAACTTGTAAGGATAACTTAAGGACGCTTTCATGTCGTTCGACAAGCAGGTTCTGAAAAATAAGTCTAAGTGCTTTACCGTCCACCCATGAATCTTGCCCTTCTTCCTCCAGTTTCAAAAACGTGAGCAGAGCACGTAAAACAGCAGATCGTACGCTTGAAATTGTATGTCGAAGGAAAGGAAACAAACGAGGGACGAGATTCCCAAACGACGATTCGGGGTCATGAGCGGCATTGGTCTTCATTGCCTCCAGCACCGGTGGGAATGTGCAGAGCTTCACGAGAACATCCATCACAGAACCTGTGCTCGCGCTGAGGTCGTCTTGGGAATTTGAGAGACAATTCCAAACATTTCATCAAAGTACTCAAGGCTTCTGGTCGTAGTTTCACAACTCATCCGCAATGGGGATCAACGTAGCGGCGCTAACTGCACGAACGTCATCGTCGTAATCACCAAGCCTTTCATCACAGCCTCAATAACACCATCTAGGACAGTGGGATCTTCGAATAGAATGTCGTTTCGAACGGCAACCAAATATTTTAAGCCAATCATTCCTCCATGGCAGACTTCCCAGATCGGTTTCAAGGTATCCAAATCCTTTTGCATCACGATCCTATGGAGGATTTGGTAGACCAACACAACAGACTGAGAAGGGAGGTGGGATAACAGTGCGCCTAGAGTTTGCCCGACTGTTTCGCGAATTGGCGCTACGACGTTGTCCGAGATATAATCTCCAAACCGGTCCAGCATGAACACGCAAAGAAGTCTACAGGCGAGATCGTTGAGCCAGCGGTGATTAAGTTCGTCATTTTCCGCCCTCGACCTTCCCCATAGACGGCCTGCGCCAGCTCCCTGAACGCGAATTATTTCTCGAAGACCCATAGCGGCTCCGTGCCGAATCTCCCAGCTGTGGTCGAATAAGTCCACCATCAAGAAATCGCACACACGCTCGTACGGCCACTCTAGATTTTGCTCCTCAGAATCAGTTTGAATGAAGGACTTTTCCGGAACCACAGCACCCTTGAATTCGGTAACCACCTTGGAATCGTCGTCCGGCCCTTCGCGTTTCAGAGAAAAATAATCGATCTTCTCGTCTTCATTTTCCTCTCCATTTTCTTTTTTGATGGGATGGGGTGTAGTGCTAGCTGGAGTTCCAGGAATATCGGAATTTTTTCTAGAAGAGAGGTCAACAACTCTGATTTTATGCCCCCCCATCCTTGCTGATTGCTTGTGCTTCCGTTTCAGTTGATTCAATTGGCGTTTGCTCAGGCCGTGTTCTTCGCCGTTCATAGGAGTCTGAAGGTCATTCGGAGAAGTAACTGGTTGCGGCGAAAGCGCCGTCAGACTATGCTGGCGAACCAGGGACGAAACAGAGGTATCCAGGGGCGGGGCACACCCTGCTCCGCGTGATTTGGAAAAGCCACTGTCATTGACGTCGTAATCATTAGCACTGTCGTCTTCCGCGTATTCGCCCTCGAGACCAAGGCGCCAGCCAAGCGTTTTCTTCTGCTGCTCTAATCTTGCTGTGGCATCCAAACCGGCAAGGGAGAGCTCATAGTCTCTGCCGGCACTTCCCAGCAGCTTCTGGCCATGTTTGATGATGGAAACCAGGTCCAGAGATTCCAAATCCAAACAGCCACCCGCGTTGTCCCTTTCCTTTTTTAATTTGGTTCTTTCAATCTCCTCATCTTTAGGGGGTAGACTGTCGTCGGCATTTGGATCAAACTTGGGTGCATGGGCAACGATCCCGCCAATTGCCTTGGCTGCGGCGGTCCTCGTTTCCCAAGATCTTGATCGAAGATACGGCACAATGCGGCCAAGTAGATTGAACAGTTCCTCTGGATGTTGTTTCTGGACGTCAGCCAGTTGCTGGGCAGCCGTGTTCCTGATCACTGGCGTGCTCCCCGTCTCCAAAAGACTGTCGCCAAGCAATGTTAGTCAGCCGGTTGATAGCATAACACTGGTGGAACTTACGTGACTAAGCGATCGAGCCTAAATTCGCCGAGACAATTAGTAATCAGGCGCTAAGAGGCGAGGGTGGACAGGGCTTACCTCGACCCCATCACGACTTCTTGCTGCTCTGATCATCAAAAGCAACGCGTCGAAAGCAAAGGCTGTGAATGGAAGAAAAGCGCAGTGGAAATCACCAAGCAGCCATCAATACACATGGTGGGTGACCAGAGCACCCATGGTTTGGATAATTCACCAAGTATAGTGATTAAGTAATAACAGAGCCAGGGGGTGTTGACCAGAAGTATGTTGTGCGAGACCTGCCAAGTCAAAGAGGTTAAGGTCGGGGTGGTGCTGGGTTTGGAGAAGAAGCTGCTCGAGGTTGCAGAGGGATGTTTATATCATTGGGACAACCTTTGCTGCAACGCGCCTATCCATGTCCACCGCAGGGCCGCTTGTCCGCTCTGGGCCTAGCGTGCCTCACATCCCTGCGCCCCAAGCTGAATTGAGGCCCTTCACGTGACAGGCGCCCCCGCCGTCAAGCCGCAACGAGCAAAAAAGCTGTCCGGTTGGTGGCTGACTGCTTGGCAAAGGTCGTGCTGGACAGAGTAGCCTGTCTGTCAATCTCGCACCAGGCCTACAGCCTGCAGGGCATCAGCTGGATGAGGACATTTCATCTTTACATCTACATGGCGACACATGCCTGGCCACTGCTGAATGGTGGCCCTTTGGCATCCCGCGCAATGTTCCGTATTGCCGAACCATTCTCTGGAATTCCACCTTGAGCTTAATGAATGACCGCTTGCGGCGCGAGCAAAGACTATTTGGAGTACGAATGATTTGCTTTCTCTTAAATTCAAGATAATCATGCGATAGTGTTATACAGGCTCTTCCCCCAAAACATGGCTGAGACACAGATCGCGAAATGTCCAACACTTTCTAGAAAGCTGCAGATTCCAATGTCACAAGCCCAGTTATGTAGTTTGGAGATCTGTTCCCCATCGGCCCAGCCGTAGTTGCAACAGGTTCGATGGCCCCGAGAGCGGTCGAAGAAAGCAATGGGTCAGATATTAGCCCTTTCCATTGGATCGCTAAGGGAACGCATGATATACACAGGGAATAGAGAACTGCAGCGGAGAAATTCATCTCCTTTCTAGTTCACACGATCAAAGCATCCTTCACTATCTCGACTCCACAATCACTTTTGTGTCTTCGTCTTTCCCCAATAAACCCAACGTGCTAACCTGCTCGGCTCTCGGGACGTTCTCTCGCGGGTGAGCCGCAATTGCCTTGCGGTAAGCATTCTGTAACGCTCTCGTTCTCGCAGCCTATAATTTCCAAAAGGGCCATCTGTTAGTTCTCCACATGTCTGACGGATGGATTTCTTTTTCCGGCAATTGAATGCGCCGGGACGCACCTCTTTCTTGTGGTGTAGGCATTCGTAGTAATCTTCCATGACCGGAACGCACTTCATTTTGCCATTTTCGCCTTCGCCGCTGTTAACAACGTAGCAGGAGAGGAGATCCTGCCAAAAGGGAAAGCACCGCGATGGGCCTGGGTTCGATCAGTCGTGTCAGCGGAGGAAGCCCAACTGCGATGGTTTTTGGGGACGAAGAAACAGGTCAGTGCATCAATACATACCTCCGGTAAGTCCGTAACCCGATGCCATTGTGTTTTGATTTCAATTGACTGCAACAGGTTGCCTCAAATCGCCTGCTGAGGTTGAAGTCCGATGCTGGAGACGGTGTATTACATAATCTGGCTGCCAAGACATCGGGCTCGATTTCGCCCCCGATTGGTCCAGGCCTAAAGTGCTCGTCAACTGCCACATCGACAGGGCCATCGCCAACGTCCAACTGGCAACAGCATTGATTTCCTCAGAGGCTATGAGCAAGCCCAAATATGACGGCTCTCTCAGGTTTGTCTGATGCCCATCTGGTTTTGCTAGCGGTCGAATTGTGCACACATGGAGATATCTCGCAACTCCCTGATCTGCTCCGTCATTTCCGCAACCCGCCCTCTCTCGACGTTGTTCTCCGCATTATCTTGACCTTTTTACCGGAAAGCGTTGAGCCAGATCGCTATACTACCGTCATCAATGGCCTCTATCTTGAATCGTCAGCCGCAGCCACGGAGCTAGACATAGATACATCCACAATCGCAGAGTTGTCTCCCGCTGAAGCTAGAAAGCAAGTCAGAAAGCTACGACTCCTACCTCTTCGATACCCCGGGCTTTCGAATGACCCTACAATCACGCCTCTGACTCATTTCCTTATCCATCGAGCGTACAGAATAGACAACGAGTTTGGCGTGCAGACGTTTGTCCTTGCCTTGATCAAGCCGTTTGTCCACACATCAGATTACCTCCGCAACTGGGTTATAGCTACGATACTTCCGTTGATTCGGTTCAATTACGAATACCACCCTGATATGGAGGGAGCACTTTCTCTGGAGCTCCTCGAATCACTTAATAGTAAAAGCGCTGTCAATACTCTCCTTTCTCGCGCAGACCGACGCGAAAATGGCGGCAACGTAGACCGGGATATACGAGGCCTGATCGGACCGTGGATCTATGGACAGGGCAAATCAAAAAGGCGAAAGCTGAATGGAGACACTGTAGCATTTCGAGCTCCGGACAAGGGCTGTTGTGCAGGCTGGCAGGATGTTAATGAATGGTTGCTCTCTACAGCCGTACGGGACTTTGAGTTGGCGGTTGAAGCAGTGATTCGGTGGGCTGGTCCCAGAGATGTCGACTTGGGTGGATATGAAGATACGGAAATGGCCGTGTCGACGGACACGGAGCAGAAACTGGCTTTCGCCTATGGCCAAGCCGCCATTGCGGCGGTGTATACAGTTTCAGAATGCAATAAAAATACTTTCGAAGGTTCCTGTCGCATTCTAGCGAGAATTGCGGCTCTTCTAGGGATTGAAGGACATTCAACTCTACTAGTACATGGTGACGAACTACTCCCGATTGCTCCAAATACAATCTGCTCCAACGCCTGCCGCCGAAATCTCCTTCACAACCTTTTGCTTGATACGCCTAATTGCCTTACCTATCCGTCACGCGAGTCTATTACGTTTTTAGACGGTGTTCTAGTTTCCATTCGCACATTGAATGACTTTGGTCACTTCATCACACCCAGGCATGTTGCGGAAATATCACTCTTTGGGGATGAAAATGCCCAACTTTATGAATTGCATGAAGTGCTTGGGATATTAAAAGGGAATTCCAAACAGTCACGCAATTGGGGTCAGTTTAGGGACCAATTGTTATGGCTGAGAAGTTGGGGTTGTGAACAGAATTTCACGCCTGCCGACCAAACGTCCGAACCATCAATGGGTTTGTTTTGGCGGGTATCCCTTGATCGTTTCGAAAAGGAGATTCTACATATTATGCTAATGGCAAAGCGTAAGCTTGTGGACAGCCTCTAAGCCCATCGATCCTGTTTCTCGCTAACATGTCGCAGAATATGAGGCCGCCATATCTACCTACGTTACTCCGTCCTCTCCTCTTTCCTCCGAGGAAGTAGAAAATGCCGTGACTAACGCCATTTTTATGGCTTATGATAATGCATCGAATGGAAACAGAACTAGAGGTGGAATAAAACATGCCACAGAAATGTATGTGCCACATAACCTGTCCCGTGGGCCACCATTAACCTGTTGGTGGTAGACTCGAGTCATTCATTCCTCATTTTCCGAGCTCTATAGCATTTCAACAAATACAATCCCTGATATCTGCAACTCATGCCCTATCCTTCTATTCTCTTACCCTCCAGCATGGCGTTCCGTTTCAACCTGTGAGCATTCGCGTGCACCAGGACCCACTATCGTTGATAGAACGAGTACTGGAACAAAACGCAAAAGCTTACACTGAACTGGACAATCTTCTAAGAATTGGCCGCGATCTGATCTCTGCCGGGCTTCCAAATGGCCTACAAGAGGATGACCTTCCCAATACAGATATATCCGCTCTATCTTTCGAGCAGATCCAGCTGGTTTCTGCTCACAGAGTTACATCCCTAGCTATATCATGTGCCCTTACTGCAAATGATTTCGACACAGCGTACTCATATATCACCACACGACTAGCTCACAATACCCAATTCCTGGGCTCAGTGGATTCAGGCCCCATCGTCGAAGACAGCCTCTCCTGGCGGGCGGCATACAATGCAGGACGCCACCGACCAACAACCTCAGGTGCTGAAAACGCATCTCTGCAATCCCGTATCTCTCGGCTCTCCCAGCAAATGGAGCTCCTCTCTCTTGCCCTCGTTCTCTCTCCTTCGCCAGACAACCTACCAGAAATCCTCGCCGTCTGGCGTCGCTCCGATGAAGAAATGAACACGCTTCAAACCAAAGAACAAGAGGAAGCAGAAGCCTGGGACGCCCAAGGCGATCAAACCAGCATGTCCTCCGCCCCCGGCGCTTTCGGCCCCTCAGACGCTGAACTCGACGCCATTGACACGCAGCGAGAACGCGCCAGACGGCTACGTACCTCGCGTAACCTTCAGCGTCGACACCGGAGGGATTACGAAGAAGCACCCATGGGCCTGTTCGATGTCGCCCGCGGTGCCGCTCGGGCGATTAGCAAGAATGCATTCCCTCTCGCCTCCGCGTCGACCCCGGCTACGTCTTCGCTGCCGAGGCCCGCCAGTGCAACGTCGAGTCGACCCCGGCAGAGTATCGAGGTGCCCGGGGACGAGTGGGGATGGCATGATGGGTCCAATACCCCTTCAGAAGCTGGCGATGGGAGTAGAGTCAGGAAGAGAGACGTGGTAAGCAATATGGTTACAGGAGGACTTGTTAGCGGGCTGGGATGGGTGCTGGGAGCGCAGCCGGTGAATCAGAATACCAAGTAAGACTATGTACGGTTCTTTCGTCGAGTGTTGCGTCTTATTCTACGAGGGGCACATTATGTATATACCCTTTTTTCCATGCTCTAATCTTGATGTCATGCATCGCTGAATGGCTGGGCGGTTCAATTGCTCGTCCATTTTTTCTCAACACAGGCAATGTTTCTTGAGCGGTCTTTAGTGGAGACAGATGAAAATTCTCCTTTTTTGTTTCTTTCGTTCATTCATATCTCTATATCCTCAGATTTAAAAAACGCAGATCAACAGTCGTAAGTACACCAGGAACTAAGTTATTGTTGTCCCCGGGGAGGTTGAAAAATAGCAGGAGACACCTTACAAAGAGGGCGTCAGATATCAAGGGGTTTCCAGTAATGCATTTCACAAGCAATTGAAAAGAACAAACGTTGATGATTCTCCCACCGCATTATTATCGATACTGGAAAGCCTATGGGTTGAGGGAACAAAAAAGGAGGAAATATTCAAATCCAAAGAGAACTCCGTCTTTTTGCAAGAAAAGGTGAGAAAGATAGAGAAAACATAAGGAAAAGAGATAAAACAAGGGGAAGAAAAAAAAAGAAACGGCGAAGCTAGACAAAAGGTAATAGGCTTGGGTGTTTTCAAGAAGAGAATCAACGACGTCCAGACGTCTTTTGGAGGACATTGTAGCAAACCATGCGAGGGGTAGGGGAATAACTGGAGGTCAATCGTGTCAACTGAATTGCAAACCGAGTTCGTGGGGATTCGGACCAAAGCGAAGCTGCAAGAAAAGAAAAGAAAATGCAAGACTTTGATGGCCAAAACCTTTTTGTAAACAGTCTAATCATTCCAGTCCCAAACTTGCTTCAAGAAATGCGCCATATTGACCTTCTTATTCTTCATCTCAAGCATCCAGGGGTGCTCCAACATGCGCCATGGAGTTGCTCTTCGGGGAGGCTCTTTCTCCAAACTGCGATGATTCGAATTAGCACTAATTTTGGCGTCGCTAATGAGCAGGATTCAAATGCTTACCAGCACTCAATAAAGTATTTAAAGTTATCGCTCCAGTAGATTCCATTCCCTGGTTCGTCTTTCAGCTTGGGGATTGGTTGTCGGACAATGTACGTTAGGAGATCAATCAAGCCTGCTCTTGGCTGCATCACCGTCCCATCTGCTGGGAAAGGAAACCGGTGCTGCGCAACTTCGAGCAAGGTGACTCCGAGAGACCAAACGTCGGACGTAATCGTATAAGATTTGCCAGTAATTCGTTCGGGCGCCATGTAATACGATGTGCCAATGAAAGTGTTTGCATCGCCTTTTGTGCCGAACTCGCCGCTGACACCGAAATCGCAGAGTTTGACTTGCCCTGTTCGGCAGAGGAGGATATTCGACGGTTTGATGTCTACATCTCAAAGTGTTAATAGGTTCGAGGCCGGGTACTTGGTTCAAAACATGCACATACCTCTGTGGATGATTTTGCGTCCATGCAGGTACGTTAAACCGTTTAATACGCCTTCAGCAACCTTTCCTAACACCTTTTCTCCAGTTCGGCCACCAAGCTTCTTGACCTCTTTGTAGACACTGTCGAGGCTGCCGCCTTCACAAAACTCCATCGCGATAGATATTGTGCTTGACGACCTATCCATAAACGCCCCATAATACCGGCAAATATGTTCTGATGCACAGCCCTTATTAAAATTTAGTTCTCGAAATATTTGTTTCTTCACGTCAGGGTTAGGATCGGTTGTGATGACCTGAACCAAGGATTAGCCGAAGCCTGCTCGCGACAATGTGATCTGAACGTCTAGTACATACCTTTAGAGCGAACACCGTTTTTCCGCCTATTAGTATGCATCTGGTGACCGCTCCACCGGCACCTTCGCCGAGGCTGTCAAGTTCAATGATCTTCCCTTGCTCGCTAGCAGCTGTCCACTTTTCGTCATCGAGATCTTCAACATCCAAGGGCCTGCCCAGTTCATGGCTCAGTTTATCCAGATCAGGTAAAATGCCATTCATGCTATTCTCTCGTTCCATCGGCATCCCGCCTTCGCGGTCGGAATATACGGAGCTGATTGCGGACGACGGATCCCTGGTGGCTCCAAGGGGATCTCTCATCCCCATGGCAAACGAGAGAGTAGAAAACGACGAAGAAGTTGCAGATGCCGGGCCACTGGTTTTGCCATCATGCATCGTAAAGCTCCCAGACCGTGAATGTGCCGAGAGGTCGTGTGAAGAGGCGTTGTAGGGTTGTGGTTGTTGCTGCATTGGCCGGCCATTGTAGTAGGAGGTGTTTTCCTGTGGGATTGTTCCCCTGCTACCCATGGGCGTTGCAATCCTCAACTCCGGGGGCAGCTGGCGAGCGGGAAATTGTTGGGCGTGTGGGTCATCGTATGAAGCGGTGCCAACTTGGTTGACGGGGCGAGCGTTCGGTGAAGGGGGGATGCCAACTGTGAGCTTGGGCGGCTTTCGGTTTCCCGGCGTGGGGATCTTTAGGAGAGGAGCGGGAGAGGACATATTACGGGCCGGTTAAGATGTGTACGGGACCTGAGAGACGATGGTCAGCGGGGCGGCGTCCGTCGAGCAAAGAGCGCGAAGGGCTTACCAGGGTCCGGTGAATTGGCAGAGGCTAGAGGAAGGGAGATCTGACTTGGCTCAGGATGCTAAGCGACCAAACGCCTATTTCCACTCTGGATCCAACAGCTCGTTTCTCGAGTGGCGGGTAGAGGGGAGACGAGCTGGGGTTTGAGGGAGTGACGGGGGAAAGGCTTCCGCACGTGTCGTCAGAGTGACGCCAGCGAGATGAAGAGGGGGAGGAGGACGAGAGAGAGAGAGAGAGGGTGAATATTTAAAACGACAGCAAGCACAGGCAAGCAAACACAGAGGTTGAGTGATACAGTGTCTCAATGGGCCATCGAAGGGGGTCGACTTCTCCCCGCGGTGTCAACTGCAAGCACCGCGCCCAACAACTAGTGTTCCCAGATCCCACGGCGGTGATTGGGGCAAGGGCCGAAACTCAGCAGCACTCCTGGACCTGGTCAGTTAATCTCAGCGCAGATCGATGCCGAGACAAGCAAGCGTGCGCTTTGAAGCAGAGCAGCAGAGGCGAGAGAGAGAGAGAGAGAGGGAGAGAGATGGGTTGTGGTTGAGTTGGGCGCTTCGAGGGAAGTTGGAAGATGCTTGGGCCCAATGAAAAAAGGGCGAGGTTGATCAACGATGATGAAGCCAGCAACCTAAATAGCCAGCAGTGGGCCGTGTCTCGGGGCCAGAATGGAAGAACCAGAGGGAACTGCGACGATGAAATTGATCGAGGGACCAGCGGTGAGCCGCTTTTGTTTCGAGAAGCGCCGAGACGACCAGAGCTGGGCTGAGCAACTGAGACGGACGACGGCGATGGCTATGTCAATGGGTTTAATAACCGCTACGGATTTGATTCTACAGACCGTGAATGAACGGCGCCGGTGCAGCAGCGCCGACGACTATATAAATATAGGACGCATGCTTCCTGCTCCCCGATTCGTATATCCATCGACACCATTCTTCATGACAGGGCCGTTGGGGGCCAAACCGGAGCAGCCAACTGACAGCATCGCCAGTCCACAGCTCGTCCACCGGTTCTCTTCCAGCTTCATCTCTGCATCCAAAGACAGACCAATTGCCTGTTTGAGCCTGAGCCATCCCGGCAGCACGGCCAGCATTAACTCGCGAGAGCGCTCAGCTAGTGCGCAAGGGAAAGAATCAGAATGGATTTGCTAATAATAATGGATGCCATCTTCGACTGGTATCAATTCCACGCCACGGGCCATGAGATCTCTACCGAACAGCCGTCTTGGAAGCGACCTGCATCTCCCCAAACGTCCCCAAACACTGAAAAAAGAAAACAGCTAAACATAGAACAAGCTTGGCCCAGAGATGCACATCTGGCTGTGAAATACGGACAAGCAACGCTTCCTGACGCTCTCTCCAGCCAATGCCTGCGTGATCCCGGCCTGCGCAAGCGGGAGCCAAGCACCCGCGAGGCGGTGATCGTTTTGGGCGCACAGTCAGAGATACGGCGGAGACACTCATTCTCTTCCAAAAATCAATCCTTCCAAACATCCTGCACCCCACATTGGCGCAGCTGGCGATAAGAATAGCCCTGCCCCACGGTGGTTGTTGTGTGCGTCCGACGCATGCACTGGTCATCCATCCTGCTGCCGGGCCAGGGCTCTCCTTGACTCAGCTAACTGCATCTCCCCAGCCAAAGGCGACAGCGAGAGGGAGAAGTGGAAGAGTCTTAATGGTGGCCAGCCCTCTACGGTTTTTACCGCCGTCGTCCGTAGGACATCCCTCGACTTCGATTGTGAAGAAGCTCCCACATTGTCGCTCATTGGAATGCTTGCTGGCAGCAAAAGACTCGCGTATCGAGTTCCTTACCGAGCGCTGTCATGTTTCCAAACCCGATCTCATCGTTATCGATCGTTTCACACCCCTGAATTCCGTCTCCCGCTTCGGTTGCATCCGCGATCTCGTTTTCAAGCTTGGTGGTTTCAATCCTTGCCTCCATCTAGCCAACATCGTCCAAACTCCCCAGCAGGGCATTTGTCAGATTCCAAAGCGATCTGTCCCGGCCCTTGCATCTAGACCTCTCTTTTGCCAGACACAGTGTCATTCTTTTGCTGACTGTGAGCCCAGGTTAGCCGCGCTGAGATGTGGTTTAAAGGGGACTACACAATTCCCAGTCTGCGCAAACCACAAGATCCAACTGCGGCGTGCTTGTGGGTTCATCCTGCGAAGAGTATCAACTGCTGTGGAAGCCCGAGTGGTCAATCTTTCTTGAGAACCGGAAACTGCCAGCTTGCAGCGGGTTGGGTCTCGACCATTGTCCCCTTTCAACCATCGTTTCTGGAGAGTTGTCTCTGCTTGACGGTGCGTCGTCCCGCAAGCTATGGGGGCTGCAGCGCTATTATATAGGCGGAAGCAGCAGGATCCGATATTCCAGCAGCTCCAGCCTCCAGGCCCCAGCGGCGACCCGACGGTTGATTCTCGGGCTTCGGGCTGGCACTGGCGGGCATCAGGCGATGCGGTCGCGGCAAGTTCCGAGGGCCCCGGGAGAATTCGGAACCCGCCCGATGAGTCAGCGCACACTCCCCAGCTGCCAACATTTTCCCTCCCGATCAGCAACGAACGCGCAACATGAGCGACGGCCAAGCAGATGAATTGTCGTCTTGGGCATTCACAGCATGGCACATCACTGCTTGATTCCGTCGCGCTGGTCGTACCGCCGAGCAGAGCGGTTGCGCGTGAGCCCCGGGAATTGAATTTCCTGGGTGAAACGACCAGCAATCCGCACCTCTTTCACCCGCCTTGGACCACCCGGGGGGTCCCCTGAGCCACTTGACGCTGACGGCTCCCCAGGGCTTAAATTCGAGCCGGTCCAATAGGGTCGGTTGTTTTGCCAACCAACCTGCCTCTTCGCCGGAAGCCAAGCGCTTGTTGCGCTGAGAGATGGCGATTTCCGCCAGCCTACGCTAACTTTGCATCTGGCCCTGCGGAACCACAACGGCAGCAAGCTTTTCTGCTCCGTTTTTTTCGCTCTTCCTGGAGCATCCAATCTCCACATTTTCATCATTTCTGCGCTCGACGTGGTCCCATTCCCTGGAGGCTAGAGCTGCACCTTTGCCGAGTATCTCCAGATTCCAAATGCATTCCGTCAAGCGCTCTCCCGTTTCCAATAACCTCCGCGGAGACTCTGCGTTTTGCTTGACTTCTTTTTCGAATTTGTCTCCTGCTGCGTGGTCTTTCGGAATCTGCAAGGCCGGGGGATGGCCAGATTTGTCCCAATATCAAATCCCCGTGCCTGCCTGTGGAAGGGATTCGAATATGACGTAGCCTGGTAGTTAATTTTGTATTTTTTATTTTTTATTTTTTTTTTCTGTGTAATATATAAATATCCTCACTTCTCCAACTTCCAGAAGAAGCATTTTTCTCTCTCCATCTCTACCATCAGCGCCTACTCTCTGATAAACATTTTATAACGCTCAATAAACTACACCAGCTCCTTTATAAATCATCACATGTTCTCCTTCTTCTCCAAGCAACAGCCACCAGAACCGGCGCCACAACCAGCCGCAATGACTGCCACCGAACGACCACCGATTCAACACATCGACGAGGCTTCCTTCAAGGACGTCGCCAGCCGCGTCGCCTACCTGAAGGCTTTTCTCAAATTCACCGACGAAGACGGCGCTGCTCTAAATGCCGCAAAACCAGTCATTGCACCTGCCATCCCTGCCGTCCTTGACACCATCTACACCAATCTTATCTCGTTTGACGTTACTGCCAAAGCCTTTGTCCCCCGCCAACCCGAACAGGATGAGCATGACCCAGCGGCAGCCACGGTCGAGGACCTCACGCTGACCCATCCCAATATCCTCCACCGCAAAGACTTCTTGAAGCTTTATCTCGTCAAGCTGGTTAGCAACACGGACTGGTCGGACAACAGCAAATTCTGGGACTACCTCGACAAAGTCGGTCTGATGCACACAGGCGAACCTGGCTTCAAACACCGCAGCAAGCGACCACAGCTTCGAGTTGAGCTGATGCACTGCAGCGCATTGCTGGGATTCGTCGAAGATATCGTTCTCAATGCAGTCATGGGTGCACAGGATGTCGATCTACCTACGAAAACCAAGATTATCCGTGCATTCAACAAGCTCCTCTGGATCCAGAATGACCTGTTCTTGAAGCAATATACGCCAGAGCCATGGAGCGAGAAGAAAGAGACGAACGGACACTGAATCGGCCGCGGGAGTTAGGGCCAATGTACTTTTTTTTTTTCCTCCATTCTGAACGAGACATGACGGATTGATCAAATGCCACTCTGGAGTTCCGGGTATTAGGGTGTCCTTTTTTTTTCTTTCTCTCTACTGCGCTTTTTCCTCCTTTCAAAATTTCTTATTTCGGAAAGTCTCGTTATTCGGGGAGTTCGTGAAGCTAGATATTCGCGCAAGAGCTTACATCGCAAGCGAAGACCTTCTGTTTCTCGGAATCAGATGCGCACGTTCGGTGTCGAAAATAGAGACGACATAACTAAACTGAGCGAGTATAGAGCATAATAGAACATATTTCTAAACGGAATGAATATCGATAAGAGAACAGCTATCTTTCCGTCGCACATTTTAGGATGTCATTTACTCTGTAGACTCACTCATGGTTGTTTTGCAGTCGAGTTCAGTCAATGGCATCGCATTCTCTCTAGTTCGTGGTGACTCGATGTCAATGGTTACTACATTTTGGATGTCGTCGTATTGGCCAACAGAATTCACTTTCTATCATTCCTCGTTGAACTTGCCGCATCCACGCTCGACAACCAGGTCACATGCCTTTCCACGCCCGTTCTCTTTGGTCAATGGCTCCCACTTCGCTGCGATCAATTGAGTGCCTTCTTTGACGCGCGCAACGGCAGACGCCAACGACTGGTTTCTTAGAACCTGGCCAAAGACCGCTGGGAAAGTATCGCGAGAACCACCCAGTATGCACCATTGGTCCATCGCTACGGGAGTACGGGATGTACATCAGCGGTTTGCACTTTGCAGCGCCCATCACTTCGATCGTCAGCTAGCTAGCTAATCGTGATAACTGATTAGGGAAAAATAAAAAAAAAAGAGGATGCGCGTTCTCCACGCATGATCTCATTGACGCCAAGTTCCGGAGCTCCTGCCCGTGTCATCAACAAAGGCGCGGGCTGTCGTCGCCCGTCTTTCCGCAACAGAATTCAGGGAAATTCCGAAAAGGACCATGCGATGGATCAGTGAAGAATGACGCGAGGCCTTTGTCGAGTTTCAAAACTGGGATGGGCTTATTAGGGGAGGATGATGAAAACGGAAAAGACAGTGTACTCCGTACGGAGTACATCAATCGGTAACGAGAGCAATGTTGAAGGCCCAACAGCCACCCGGATCCTGAGCGGCGTTTGATTCTGGGAACTTCTTGCTCAAAACAAGGCAGAATGGAGACAAAAAAAAGGGGGCAGTGGTCTCCTTTTATCGGCGCATCTGCCAGGAGGATTGTTGTCGACAGGGCAAGCCGCTTTCGGCGATGTGGGACATTCTCCAAATATCCACCTTTTGAAAGAAGATCCACGAGCTAATTATCCGGCCACCTGGCCGTCTTTTGCAGAAACGCGCGTCCAAGTCTGCCTGCCAAGTGTTGTGGTGACGGGAAGACCTGGCAGACAGCTTGTTTCACGTCCAGGAGACATTATTGCTTTTTCATTCAAAGATCTACAGCGAGATCAGAGGAATCCTGCCCTGGAAATTCCCCGTTGGCCCAAATACAGTTCCTGGGAAACCGTCTCCTGAGATGGGGGAGGAACTTGGCCTGTCAGCGGCTGCAGGGTCCTGGGCGGACAGATGTTTCGGCTTGGGAGCGTTCGCAGATTAAGCGTGTTGAGAAGTAATGTGGGAGGAGCTTGTTTTGTTACATTACAGATATTGGCGAGATGTTAGCTGGTGCGCTATTATTTTTGAGCTTTTTTTGGTGAAGGGGTTCGAGCCCAACAAAGGGATGGCTAGAAGTCGTCTCTTGCTCCCAGACTTCGCCAGGCCAGGTGGCTTTGAGTTGCGCAGAAATGCCCGTCTCCCACAGCACTCGAACCCATGCTTCAAGGACAATTCACCGATCCTTGGCCAGTCAGCTGTCGTTTCGGTTGGCAGGATCTTGACATGCCAGCAACCCAAAGCTAATCACTGGCAACCAAATGTACTTGTCGGGCCAATTAATCTGAAATCAACAGAGTCGTGGCCCGATTGGTTCCTCCGACACAGGATCAGTGCAAGGAACCCGTGCTCCAGCCCGCCAATCAAACGGCCATTCAGATGGGTACCTGCAGGACATTCCAGCGCGACGATGAAGGCGGAAAGCCTTTGTGATATCTGTCTGGTTATCCAGCCATTTGCCCTGGAGACCACGAGGCAAGACATCAACACCAACCCACACAGCAAGATGGCCGGTCGAGCCCTCGAGCGGACTGGCGACGGCGTGCAGAATCACAGCCAGGGAAAGCCCAAGCGATGAACTCTGGACTGTCGGGCGGGATTAGCGTTGCGACTGCCAGTGGGCTGGTCCACAGCGTGTGCCCCCTGGCCAGCGAATCAGGGGCCGGGCGAGCAGCCACGCCAAGCGAGGCCCCTGAGCGATGGGCGCTGGGCGGTGGGCGGCCCCAAACAATTGGCTGCGGTTCCAGTTAAACAGCGGCACCTGTTCTAGGGGCCTCAGCATGGCCTGCCTCGGGCGCTTCCCCCCTGGCAAATGAGCGTTTTTCGTGGGTCAGGGGCAGGATCTCCAGTGTAATCTCCCGGCTGCTACAAAGGTTGGGGGCCTTCCCCCTTGTGTTTCTTGTTTCTTCTTCTTCTGTTTCTTCTTCATCCTCACTGATCCGTTTCTTCAAGCCCACACACCGCTTGCAGCATCGCGCTTTTTCGACTTCGGTCGCCCACACGAA